TTATTATTATTATTGATGTATAAAAATATTTCAAATAAAGAGATTTTTTTAAAAGAGTGTTTTTTTTATTGTTATTATTATTATTATTATTATTATTTAAAATAGTTTTTTACAACATTGATTAAGCCCACAAGTGGGTTGATTAAATATAACAACATTAAAATGTTTCTTAACATAGCATGCCACTTCACAATCGTTCCATGATGTATTATTCGTAAACATGTTCACAATTTTGTTCATGGTATATCCAAGACAACGATGGTATAGATAGAAGATGCAATATTGACCACATACTTCGGTCCAATGACTTTGTAGGGTACGAGCATTCCATTTGAGATTCTCAAAGGAGGGTCTAAATACGTCTTTATAATGTTGAGGTGGTTTTCCGTAACTATCAAAGAATTCACCGTTCTCTTTTGAAGTAAAATAAAAAATAACCCAATGCGTTCCAGGTTTTGTACTAGGATCCGTGTTGACAATAAATCCACATGGGAAAGTTTTTAGAAATTTAGGTATTTCATCTGCCGGAAACACCCCGCAAAAATATTTTTTAACTATAGGATGATGTTCAAGTACGTTTTTTATTTGTGTGGTATTCATGTAGAAATATCATAGATTACGTTTCTTTCCGAATCTATTTGTACGACATTCTCAAAGTCTCCATAGCATACCAAGGAAATGGGTGCACTTGGAACATCCCCAGCAGCAAACGTAATGTCAAGTGTCAATGAACCCCGTTGCACTGTGTTAAAATAGGGCGAGGCACCGCACATATCCGGAGTGAGATCCCATGCGTATAGGGTATATCCTTTGTAATAATCCTCTCTTGAGATATCGAGACCGGTATTATAATTCATTTTTCCTGTGCCTGAGAATAATGTGTTATATGCTTGGATGAAATTTTCCTTGTTATCTTTGTAGTTAAGGACAAGTTGTTTAAACGGTATTTCTTCACCATTTGCTGTTAATGTCACCGATGATACGTTGAAGTGTTTGAAGTTATATGGGTTTTTTGTGTGAACTCCGCTAAAAGCGTCAGCGTCTACGAAACCGCAAACAAATGTCTTGGGGATGATTCCAGCAAACATATTATCTTTTCTTATTTGTGGAAGGTTTCCCGGTATGGTGAATGCTTTGCATTCCACCCGTCGTATAGGATAAGTAGCGGGTACCGATTTCAATGCCAGTTCATGTGCCTTAGTAATGGTCTCGTTCACTTTAACCTTACGTACTTTAAGAGTTACATCCACAAGTTTTATTTTAGCATTCATAGGATTAGCATTTTTATCCATTAAACAAAACTTGTCAGAGTTTCGGTTTAAGACTAGCTTGAGATCCACCATACTAAGTAGTAATCGCTCCATCATAAATATATCGCAAAAAATTGGTCCCGACATTACCAAGAGTTTTCCGTCTTGAATAAATTTATGACGTTTTGCAAAGCCTTGATTTCCATTTCCCGGTACTATGAATTTTATGGTTTTCTTAGTGGCAACACCACTACTTGGGACATTTGTAACGACCTCCACTGATTTTTCTGATGGGAGACTTCCTGTTTCATCCATTTGTCCTGGGGTATCTTTATAATATAATGCTGAGGTGAGTTGAGATTTTTTTCCGAGACATCGTAATTCAGGAGGGTTTCCAGGTAGGCGCGATAAGCATAAGTACCCATAGCCGGAGTAACTTGTTTTCCATTTAAAAAAACATCAACTTGTTTAAACAGACTATGTAGGAAATTGTTTATGGGAGCTACACTTGATTGTTCGTCACCGCCTAAGGAGGTTCCGTCCGATTTTGTAATTTTCAGTTCGACCACGAGAATCATTTTTGACATGTCGATATAGTCTTCGGTACCTGCCGTTATGAATGTGATAGGCCCGTCATCGTTTTCTACACTGGAGAGTGGATGATAATCAACCCATCGTCCTTTTTCCAAACTTAATTGTGTAGATGGAATGTCAAATAGATCAATTTCGCTTTTATCGCAACGATTTGAATTTGGATGTACGTAATTATTATTCATTCTTATGAGATTTATATGGACTTCTTCTTTACATCAATATCAGATAGGATATGATTACTTTTTAAATATTCATTCAAATATAAGTATTTTCTTATTTCAACCAAATATGTCTTTAGGGAGAGCTTTTCTCTGTCTCTTAGTCATGTTACGCGCTCTTACAACACCAATGGGTCTCTTACGTTTTGTTTTACGTTTTGTTTTACGTTTTGTTTTACGTCCTTTTCCTGCTTGAGGTTTTTTTCTACCTTTTCTCGATAGAGATCGTTTTATTGACGTTTTATGTTTTCTCCCCCCGATTTGACTTTTCTTAGATCGTTTTCTAGATTGAGATCGTTTTCTAGATGGGGATCGTTTTCTAGATTGAGATCGTTTTCTAGATTGAGATCGTTTTCTAGATTGAGATCTCTTACGTTTTTTTCCACCTGATTGTCTTGGGGTTTGATTTGCTGCCTGATTTAACATTAATGTTTGTAATGCTTTTTCCAATGCCATGTTTGTAGCACGTGTTCCGGCCTGTCTTCCATGTGCTTTAGCTGATGCTCTTGAACTTTTTCCGGCAAGAAGATCGTTAATTAAATTTTGAAGTAGACCAGCTCCAACATTTAAACCTATATTGCCCACTTCTGTGGCAATTGGTCTAAAGAATCTTCCTATACTACGAAAGAAATTTCCATGTCCCTCCTGAATTCTTCGACGATTCATTTTTTAAAAATAACTCTTGCGTTTAAAATGCAGTGTTATCAATGCACGTCCACGTTCAAATGAAATAGGTTCATTAGTACTACTCCTTAAAAGAATTGTATTTCCTCAAAAGATTTCGTTTGGACAGGAATGTATCGTATGTGTTTTATAGAATGATATTCCTTGTCTTTTTTTGAAGGTACGATGTGTAGCAGGGGGAGTGTCTTATCCCCAACGATTTGAGGTTGAATAATATTACAATATATGTAAATATCAGTCTCTCTATGCATATTTCCTTCATGAGCTCCTGTCTCAGTAGCTTCAATTCTCTTCTCAATTTGTGTGTCGTTAAATGATAGAAACCCTAGAATAATGGCTTGATCTCTTCGTAAATTAACTTTATACCCACTCTCTAAAGTAATAGTTACTTTTCTTGAATGTATGCTGAAATTGATTTTCTTTCTGATCTCTTCCGTAAAAGATTTATTAATGTCATTCACATACTCATCAAGGGAGTCGTAGTATTTTTTTATTTTCTCCCCCTTATTTTTTACACCATTTACTGTATATTGAATAGGTTCTCCGTTCATTTGTATTATTTTCCATTTTATGTAGGAGATGTTATATAATCCAACCTCCCACTCGCCATTTAGTTCGACACGGTGTGGGATTTTTGTGGTATATTCGGATTGTTTGTTCTCGGGGAAAATACTTTTTGAGGAGTCGCTAGGGAGTGTAATATAGAAGTCTGTGTTGTTCATGATTCAAGTTATAAATGAATAATAATAATAAGAATACACTTTAAATATCTTTTATTTGAGAGGCAGGGACCCACGAGTTAAATTTCGCAGGATATCCCATCCATTTTACAAAATATTCCTCTTTTTTACCTTTTCCCCTCTTTTTTAAGATTTCCTCAACTTCATAAATATCGTCCTCCTTAATTACTTTTTGTAATTCTTCTTTATAGAATGTCCCTTCTAACTCTTCTTGATCATAATCTTTTAATTTATAAACAGGAGGATTGCGTGGTATTTGTTTACTAATGGTAAAAATTTCTTTTGAGAAGTTAGGTAAATATCCTTTCTCAAATTTACGTTTCATTTTACTGATTCTTACTTGATCTCCAATATTAAATTTATAAATAATTTTTCTTCTCTTGCGGTCTCCATATAGGGTATGCCACACTTCTTGTTCAATTTTCTAAATTTACATCGATTGGTTTTTTATTAATGCTACGATGTTTGCTATTATTATAAGAGGATATTAAGTGTGGTAATATATCGATATATCTCTTAGTCTTCTTTGCTGTAAAGTAACGCCACATCTTTGTCTTCAAGGTGCGAATTACGCGTTCCACAATTGACGCTTTAGTTTCATTGTAAGTGTTGTATAATTGAATTTCCTCTTTTTTCATTAATGCTTTAAAATGTTTATTGAAAAACTCCGTACCCTTGTCTGTTTGAATTTTGTGTGGTTTTCGTTCCGATTTTAGGATAGTTTTAAATGCGTCAACCAATGAGGGTCCTGTCTTATCTTTTAATGGTATAACCCATGTAAATTTTGAAAATACGTCAATGCAAATAAGTAAATATCGATATCCATCATTCTCCTTAGCTATGGACTGCATGTCTGCTAAATCCATCTGCCATAATTCGTCTATTCCGCCAACAATGACTCTGTTTCTACCGAAGTGGCGACGTGCTGGTTTATGTAAAGTATAAGTATCCTGTTTCATCAACCATTCTTCAATTTTATTTCTAGAAATATCGTATTTCCCCTCTCTCTTCACATCGTTATATAATCGTTCTACACCACCGAATCCTCCAACGCGTTTGGGGTCATAATAAATACTGGAGAGATACTCATCCATTGCCCTCTCCCTGCTCTTTAATTATGGGTAGACTGGAAGATAATCTTATAGGTTCCTCATACTGTTCTTCCTCTACTATAGTTTCTTCTATTATAGTTTCTTCCTTAATAGTAGGTAATCGTTGCAATGGTGGTTGCTGTTCAATATTTGGTCCTTGCCTATTAATAGGTCTATAATCTTTATTTATTTTAACTGAATATCCTACCTGAAAACTACCTTCGGTTTTTAAATCTTTATGACCTAGACTTAATCCTACCTTACATGCAGCATGTTTCTCTATATTCTTATTTAATCTCGTTTTTGATTTTTTTGCTCCCATGTTTACAACGTGAGGTTTTAATCATTTTGAAATAATATATTACACATACTCTTCTTAAGTAAGGATTCCTGGAAATTCTATTCATTTATAAACCACTCATAATGAAGAGAGGATATCCCTATTCGCACGGTAATCTCAATTTTGGATATGAATATGAATATAGACCTAAAAGTGCAAAAGGAGGTACTGGTGAGCGCGGCGAGATTGGACCTGAAGGACCTAAAGGAGATACAGGACCTAAAGGAGATACAGGTCGTGTGGGACCTGCAGGTCCACCAGGACGAAAAGGAGATCAGGGCCCTCAAGGGGTAAAAGGTGATCGAGGAGATACAGGACCTCGAGGACCGCGAGGGCTGCAAGGACTAAAGGGCGATCAAGGAGCACGAGGGTTACAAGGATTACAAGGCGACCAGGGCGTACAAGGACCCGTTGGACAGCAAGGACCGCAAGGAGTCCCTGGTACAACAGCTGCAAAAGGTGATAAAGGTGACAAAGGCGATCAAGGACCTCCTGGACCTCAGGGATCCCAGGGACTTCAAGGATCAAAAGGTGCAAAAGGGGATCAAGGTCTGCAAGGACCTCCCGGACCTCGAGGACAAGACGGTGCTATAGGCTCTCAAGGTCTTCGCGGTATTAAGGGAGATCCCGGCGCAAAAGGGGATCGGGGTCCTCCCGGTCAAAAAGGTGATAAGGGCGATAAAGGGGATAAAGGCGATAGGGGATCCATTGGGGCTCAAGGACCGCGCGGTGGTGATGGTAGTAAAGGGGATAGAGGTATTAAAGGAGATAAAGGTGATAAGGGTGATATAGGTCCGCAGGGACCTAGAGGTCCAAGGGGGGATATAGGACCCAAGGGAGATAAGG